AACTGCAGCTTCACCTCTCCAGGCTTGCTCCCAGTTGGCTTCTCCAAAAGCACTCCGAACGTCTTTGTTCCCTTCAAGTACCTCACCAGCTTCACCAATCGCTTCCTGTCAAACTCCGTCGGCTGACTCAGGTTCCTGGTCAGCAGCTGCACGTCCCGCTGGATGTCCGCTCTGTCGGGCGAGATGTAGAGCGCGATCCCAACTCCTGTGCGAAACTTCGCCCTCTCGATCTCGTCCAGTTCGGGGCTCCATGTCGGGTCCTCCTCAGTCAAGCTTGGCACCTTCGCTGGCTTGGCTTTCTCCATGCCCATCACGTAGATCAGATCGTCGATATGCTTCACGTTCGGCCTCAGCATGATGTTGCCGTTCGCGAGCCTCAGCCTGTCACGCTTCAAGTGTGAGTAGCGTCCCTGCCTGATGACGTCCGTCGCCTTCAGGTCGAACACCTCCCGCCGCCGTTTGATGACCCCGTCCAGGTTGCCGATTGGACCTTCTCAGTGGAAGTCGTCCATGTGCACCTCGATCAGGATCTTCTTCTCCCTGTGGTAGTAGAACTGCGGCTGGCACTCACTCCTGTCGAAGCCCTCTCCCTTCAGAGTCTTCGCCGCCTTGTCTACCCAGCCAGCGCCTGCCACGCGCTGCCCAGGTAGCATCTTGTCTAGCGCCCAAACGATGTCGGTCGGCTTGCCCATCTCAGCCAAGATCGCCAGATACTCAGCAGGTGGCTCCACACAAACCTTCTCCGTCTGATCCGCTTGGTAGTACGCCTTCACGCAGTCTGCGATGAAGGTCCCGTGGTTCTCCTCCTTTATGCTGACGAAGTCCACCAGTCTGCTCGTCTGTGCTGACGAACTCGCTGCGAACACGTCGTCGCGCTGTTCCATCCACTTGAACTCCTGCGCCACATACCGCCACTTGCAGATACCTCCTCGCATCTGCGGCTCCCAGCGCGCCCTGATCTTCTTGAACTCGCCGCTCTCGCTCCTCGGGATGTCCCTGTGCACCGCATAATGCGCCAGCACCTCTAGTGCTTCGCGCTTGCCCCTGAGTTCCACCGCGGGCTCCAGTCCGCTGACCGTCACGTAGCAGTCTGTGCCCATCCTGTCCAGGATGCTGTAATCGATAGGGTCGTCGAGCGAGATGGCGTCCACGTGCTTCGCGCGCTTGCCTGGTGCACCGAAGTCCTCAGCATCGGCAGGTCTGATCAGCCCTCGGGGTGTCATCGGCACGTCCGCATCCGTCGTGCTCTTCTCCTCTGGTCTTGCCGCCGCTGCTGCTCCAGCTCCAGGTCCCGCGGGTCCTGACGATGGCTCCGCGCTCGCTGCTGCAGCCGGCTGCGCCCCCTGCTCGGGCGCCCCCTGGGGTGGCGCCGCCTTGCGTGCTGCCTCCTGCGCCTCGGTCTTCGCCTTCTGCTCCGCCGCCATAGCACGGCTTCTTCGCCTTCTGCTTCCTGCGCCTTCGGTCTCGCCTTCTGCTCCTTCGGCATCGGCCTCTGAATCCTGGGCAGTAGCTCGCACGGCTTAGCGCTCCTCGCGTCCCAGGGTAGGGCCTTCACCGCCTTCATCAGCTTGTCATCTGCTCGGCTGCTCGCAACGCTGGCTCCAGCCGCCTGCATGTTCTCGCGCGGTGCCAGCCTGCTGGCGTCAAGAACAAGTGGTCGTCGCTCTCCTTGTGCTTCCCGATCCAGATGCCCTTCACGAAACTCGACTCGCCCTTGTGCTTCAGAGACGTGGTCGTGATCTGCCTCGTGTGGGAGATCGGGGTCTTGAAGAGAGCCGTCTCGCCAAAGGGGAGAATCTCTCCGTTGTAGGTCACTCCGTAGGCTGCCTGATGGGATGTCCTCCCATCGGCGCGTGGTCTGTACGTAGAGGTAGCCCAGCTAACGTATCGTGTAAGCCAGCACCAGATCGGTGCGTCCGCTGTGATCTTCATGCCATAGCGCTTCTCCAAGTCGAATTTGTACGTCCTCACCTTCGCCTGAAACCATCTGATCGGAGCCTCGATCGCGCCCATGCTCTGGCTGTCCTTCAGGTTCCCACGCTTCTCCTCCAGCTTGATGCTCTTGTTCAGCCCCTTCCGCACCTCCTCCACCAAGTTCACGATCGTGGGCTCGCCGTCCGTCTTGATGTCCGCCGTCGTGAGATGCATGCCCTCGATGAAGCTGAGTCCGTGACCGCCTTGGTGGGCATCGAAACTGCGTCGAACATCGGCGTGTCCCTGTCTGCCACCACGAGCGCCGTCGCGAAGATGTCCGCCGCTGGCGGCTCCACATCTCCGACCTCCGTCCAGTCGCCGTTGGTCTTCAGGTAGCAGAAGTCCAGGGTGATCTGCGCCTTCCCAGTGTCCTTCTGGTCGAAGGCGAGGGTCTTGTGCGGCCTGGTCGTCTCCTTCCCTCGCACGCGGGCTGCGCACCGCGGCGCCCTCGTGAGGTGAAGCAGTTCATGAGCTGCTCGCTCTGCATCCGTGGGCGCTGCTGGCCCTGCTATACTTCTCGTGGTGCTATCGAGGGTGCTCCCTGAACGGACTCCTCGCGCCTGCGCTCCAGCTCCTTCATCTTCATGCGGTGCGCCGTAAGCCTCCGCTCCGCGTCGCTGAGCCCAGCCCACAGCTCGTCCTTCCTGCCGTAGATCGGCTGGCCCATCTCCTTGAGCCTCGCCCGCGTGTCCTCCCCGCGGCTGGAAGGGTGCAGGACGATCTCCTGCCCTTCGCGTAGCAGCACGGGATGTCGAGCCAGTCGCTCTCCTCCTGCGCCCTCAGCTGCTCCACCTCGCGCTGGATCCGAGGCAGCAGCCGCAGGTACAGCCGGCGCCGCTGTCGCTGCTCCGCTGCCCGCAGCCCCAGGCGTCGGCACGAACGCCTCCTCCTGCTGCTCATTCGCGTTCACGCTGGCAGCGAACTCCTTCGCCTCCGTCGCTGTCTTGAAGGTCTTTGCGTTGAATCCCAACGTGTTGTTCTTCCTGGTGAGCGGGATGCCCCTGCTGAGGTCACCGCCAGGGTACATGCACATGCCCGTCTTCGCGCTCAGCCAGAACTCGGCACCCTTGTCCATCACCTCCAGCAACGAGAGGATCGGCTTCGATACCGTATCACCCAGCCTGAAGTCCGCCTTCAGCAGCTTCGGCTGCTCGCAGTCGTCAGCAACCGCCATCGGCACCGTCGCAATGGAGTCCATCTTGATCTCCTTCCGCTGCGCATCCAGCAGCCTCGGTCCGCGATCCTCGCCTTTCTTGCATCCTTCTCCGAAGCAAGTCGGCCCCACGTGGCAGTCGCTCGCCGTGTCCAGCGTGATGAAGGTCGTCTCCTCGAGCTCCATGCCGCAGCACTCCGTCTCGGGATCCTCCGCCTCCATCGCCATGCAGTAGAGCTGGTCGTCGTCGCAGATCTCGCACTCGTACTCCGCGTACTCGATCTTGGCCACCGTCTTCGGGTCCGTGCTCTCCTGCTCGATGGCCGCATTGCCCTTGGCCCTCTCATCGGCGATCCGCTTCTTGCAGTCTGCCTTCTTGTGGCCTGTCTTGTGGCAATAGTCGCACTTCCCCGTGAAGGTGTAGCCATCCTTGCCCTTGCCTTTGGCGTCCTTTCCGCCCTTGGCTCCCGCGCCTGCCCCTCGGCCTTTTCCGTCGCCCTTCTGCTTGCCCTTGTCACGCCAGAAGCAGTCGCGGGCCGTGTGGCTCGGCTTGTGGCAGATCTGGCACTTGTCCTTGCCGTCCTTGCCCTTGCCCTTGGAGATCGCGTCGACGTCCATGTCGTTGCTCCCCTTGTTCGCTGTCGGCGGCCTTGCGACCACTTCACTCTGGCCGATCACCGCCTCGAAGATGCAGTTCCTCATCTGCGTGATGTCGCTGCGCACCTCGCGCTGCGCTGAGCGTAGCATGACCTTCACCTCCTCGGGCGCGTGGGCCATGATCGTGCTCGTCTTCATGTTTTGTGTGACCTGCTCTCCAGTCGCACGCTCATACCTCGAGATCAGCTCGTCCCAAGCGATAAGCACCTCCGTGAAGCGCTCCTTACCCTCGCGATCCTTCCACCACGTCGGCGTCAAGATCTGCTGGAGCATCTGGCCGTGCTCCTCATTTAGCCTCGGCCTGTACTCCTTGTACAGCCTCCACATTGCCTCGAAGCCGTCGCCTCGCGGGCAGAGCTTGACGATGCTCTGCGCCTTGCCCTTCGTGGTGCTCGCCAGCAGGTGGTACAAGCTCCTGCCGACCAGCACTCCTTGCTCGCCGAGGTCGTCCGCTGTCAGCGGCTCCTCAGCCTCTCTTGACCTCTCTAGGCCCGCCGTCCAGCCCAGCAGACCACAGAAGGACTCAAACGGGAAGATCCAATCCTCGAAGTCCTCCCTCTTGCCTGAGAATGTCGGCACCTTGCCGACTCCACGAGAATCCAGCAGCTGCACCCCAGCCGCTATGTTGTCGGCCGCCATGGCGCGCTGGCGCCACTGGCCTGAAGGGTAGGTTCAGGCAACCTCACAATCTGCCACCATGCAGAGATGACGATCTCACTCGATGGATCATCTTCGAGCCATAACAGCTTCGGCGGGGACGTCCCGCTCCTCTCAGTCCAGCCCTGCACGGGCCATGCACAGGGGGCCTCTTAGGGCCCAAATCATGCTCTGGGGCCTCCACGGGCCCGATGCTCGCGCCAGGGCCTCTTCGGGCCCTGGCCTACATTCTGACCGCCTCGGGAGGGGCCGTACACTCACTGACGCCTGCACATACCCACAGGAGGGTCGGAGGGAGGGGGCCTGGCCACGTCGAAGCAGGGCGCAGATCCAAACATCCGCGCGCTCCGTCGAAAGTCTATGTTTATGCAGTTGTTTTTCTAACCCGTCCCCCAAGGGGGGCAGGAGGGAAGAGGACCGGCTATGGGTATGGGTGCGGGCTGTCGGACCCCAAGGGGGGCTCCCGCTCGAGCGGGGACTCCCGTCCGACAGCATGCACGCAGAGCCCTCTCCGTCCCCCTTATTGGTATGGGTGTGTGTGTGTCGCTCGTTCGCCGAGGAAGATGATGAAGCACATCAGCACCTGGAACGGCGCGGCGACCGACAAGTACTACTGGTCGCAGTCGCTGCGGGAGGTCACGGTCGAGGTCGAGGTGGGCGAGTGCACCGCGAAGGACATTCAGGTGGACCTCACCGCGACCCGCCTCTGCGTGAAGTGCAAGGGCAGCACAGTGCTGGAGGGGAAGCTGCACGAGAAGGTCGTCACCGAGGAGACGATGTGGCACCTCGACGGTAACAGGCAGCTGGTGCTGTCGCTGGAGAAGCACCGCGACATGTGGTGGAAGTGCGTCCTGGAGGGCGACCCCGAGATCGACACCACCAAGGTGGAGTCCACGCGGAAGATGGAGGAGTACGACGGCGAGACCCAGGGCGCGATCCGCAAGATCATGTTCGACCAGAACCAGAAGCTCCAGGGCAGGCCGACCTCGGACCAGCTCCGCACCGCGGACATCATGAAGGACGCCTGGAACGCCCCGGGCTCGCCCTTCCGGGGCACCGACTTCGACCCCAGCCTGCTGAACCTGTCCAGTCCGGTCGGCGACGAATTCTTCAAGGATCGGCGGCGAGCCCGGGTGGGAAGCGAGAAGCGGCGGGCGGCGGGCCTTCTCAGAAGACACAGAAGTCCCCCAGCCTTCTGAGAGGCCTCCTAGGCCTCCCACGAAGACATCCTCTCAGAAGGCGCGAAGGCTTCTGAGAAGTCCGGCTGCCTGCCGAGAAGCCCTGCTCCTCATTCCTCCCCCTCGCCCGCCGCCGTGAGGAGGTCGAGGACAGGAGACTCGAGGAGGCGCGCCGGGCCAAGGCCGGCGGGGGCGCCGCCGCGGCCGCGGCGGACCCCTGACGCGAGCACGACTGGCTCCTGCCGCAGGCTCGCCACCGAGGGCTTGGCCTGCCGAGCCCTGGCGGCGAGTGGGCAGCCTCACGGCCTCACGCACGGTGGGATGTCATGTCCAGCTGCATGCGCCTAGGGCCTGCTGTGAGATCAGCCATGTATCCGACAGAAGCGCCTGCGCTCTGCCTCCTCCGCCTCCTCCTCCTCCTCGTGCCTTCTCCTCCTCCTCCTCCTCGTCCCCCTTCTCCTCCTCCTAGACGCAGATACACGGACGACACATGCACGAGTATCGTGGACCGCACGCATCATATCCTCAATTGGGGTTACGGCCGTTCCCCGTTCACAACAGCGCATGCAGGTGTGCAGATTCGGTTGCGCAAAAGATCTCTTCGTGTGTCCCATATTCTAGCAGTGTATTCGCCACCTACGGCCTTGCAGGGCAGACTGGGGGCGGTCTTGTTGCGATCGGGACGCTTCCATTTATTGTGCTTCGTAGTCTACTTGCCACCGCGACCTTCGATTGCGCGACGCAATCTAGTATATAATAAGACGGTGGATGCCATGATCGAATGGATGCGCAAGATTAGCTGCGAGCAACCCAGTAGGTGTTCAATTATCTTCGGCGGAGACGTAAATGATCACTCAGGCATTCCTCCTCCTGACAAGCTCCGTGGATACATGGAAGACTTCGGCCTCTGCCTCGTCAATACCTATATAGGTGGACAGGCGACCTCCTATGGACGGCAGTCTCCGAGCAGAATAGATTATTTTGGCGCTCCCTATTCGTGGTTGTCTCATGTTCGCAAATGCCGTATTCTAGAAAAGCAGGGTCGAGCACTACAGCTTGTTCCGATTCGTCAGCGATGGGACCACTATCCGCTTCTTGTGCAGGTAGACTACATCCTTTCGTTCCCGCGTTCGCAGAGGAGGAAGGAGGAGGAGAGGTGGGACATGGACAGGATGGTGGATGGAGTGGTGAATGGGGCTTTGGCGAGGGCGGTTCTTGAAGGAGGTAGAGGACATGTGCTATAATACCTATCCCCAATGGAAGGCACTTGAGGGTAAGGTTACACTTGATCAAGCTTGGGAGGCACTCATATCTGCGATTCGACCATTAGCTCTTGGGTACTTTGCTCAGCATGTTCAAGAACACGATAGCGCATATGCTCAGGCAAGGCAAGCACAGCAAGATCTTCTGCGTGAGCGCGCGCGCCTTCGGCAATACATCGGCACACTCACTGACGAACAGCAGCAGGAGCTCACCAGCACGCAGCAGCAGCTTTTCAGCATCACTCGGCAGGTCAGGAATGAGAGGAGGATGAAACAAGAACTGAGGATGGAGGATCTAGCCGAGCAGCTTCGAGAAGCCCTTCAACAGCAGCAGCGGAGTTATGCACATAGGCTCACGCGGCGCTTAGCATGCACATCGGTGGGTCCTGGGAAAAAAGGTTCTACAACACACATCTGTCGTATAGGCCCACACGAGAGATATGGCGTGAGCATCTTGCACAGCCGGGACGAGAGGGCGGTCAATCGTGCGAGATGGTAGAAGTAGCCAACTTCCCACCTGATCGACATGAGGAGGGCCTGGGCTATAACATGTATGAGCCTGGCTTTAAGGATGAGGCTCTGAGCGACCTCTCTGGAGTCCGTGCCGCTCTGCTTAGTATGAAGTACCGCAAAACGGTGCCAAGCTGGAGTCTCCCCCTCGAGATCTTTCGGATGGTGCTCCACCCCACTCGTCGGGATCGCAGGTACCGTGATCAGCAGCAGGCTTTTTGTGCGGATATTCCTTCCATGCGTTGGTTTGAAAGACGCGTGAGGGGGATCTTGTGGGACGTCAGGGGCAGCTGTAAAGTACCCCTGGATTGGTTGAGGTCGTCAGGTTGCTGTCTCCCCAAGCCGACGGACAAAACGGGCATGAAGGCATTGCGACTAGTACACCGAACCTGCCCGTTCAGCAAGGCGTTTTCTAAGTATGTGGGTTTTCGTGGTGAGATATGTTATCCGGACAAACTGTACCCCCCGTATCTGCATGGAGGCCTTCGGCATCGTAGGAGAGAGTCGGCAATCCGCATACAACTTATATCCAGTTGGCGATTGACACAGCTTAAGAAGTCACATTGCACCATATTCTACGACCAGGCCAACGCGTTTGGCAGTATATCTGCTACCGCCTGTGATGACACAGACTATCTACATCTAGATCCAAGGGATGTGTTTATTGGGCATGCATGCAACCACAATAGTATTATATCATTGGAGTGTGTGGATGGGGAGGGACACTTTCGGGTGGGGGAAGGGGTTCTGCAAGGCCAACAAGCAGCACCTATTAAATACACGCGCGCGTTCGGTAGATGCGTGCTCGCCCCGTGGCTTGACCTCCAGCATGCCAAAGTTGATGGTCAGCACCTTATGTGTTCAGACCCCCTCGGAGAAGACCCAGAAGCAAAGGTTGACATCAGCACGACGATATTCATGGATGATATAGCTCACAAGTGCGCGTATCGGACAGCGGAAGGAATGGTCAAGGCTGTGAATGGTGCGAGCCAGGACTTAGATGAGTGCCTGTCTACAGTAGGGGTGCATAGAATACCAGCAAGCAAGATGTCGTTCCTCGATTTGTTGGAGTTGGAGCTCGCACGCAGTCGAGACGCTTCACATCTGCACAATGTACGCGTGATGTAGCCGGCCATGTTTGTCAGCATGCACCATATCTTGGCATTCACTTTGGTCGTAATTCAACTACATCACAACAGAGGCATGCAATTAAGAAGCATATGTATAGGGCCTGGTACTCCATGGGCAACTTTTGGTATCGTCCTCGAATTCCCAGGCATATCTTACTGATTATGTTCCAGGCGAGGTTCCAGGGTGCGGCTTGGAGTGGCATGGAAGCTTTCATTCCCTTGGCGAGCGACTATGACATGATCGATGGGTTGTTGCTGATGTGGGGGAGGAAGCTTCTTAAGGGGGGCGCTACGCTTAAACGAGCTCGGCCTGATGGGGGCATTAAATAGACGGCGTTGCAAACGCGACAAGTGTGGGGGAGGCTGGGATTGATTCAATCTCAACTGGAACTACGAATGCGACGGTTAACGTGGCTGCAGCAAATCACCCAATATCGGCAAGAAAATTAGCGACTTGTGGCGGCAATGTTTGGGCAACTTCCTGATGGGCAGACCCCGACAGTAGTGGATTGGCAGCTTCATCGAGGCTCTGATGGTAAGTTCCAAGGGAACCCCTGGGCCTTGCAGGCGGCGAACGACATTAGTTCGATTATTCACTTCGAAAAGGCAAGGAGCTTTTAGACGAGATGGAGGTCAGGGTGTTCACTCCGCAGTTCAGTGAGAAGTTCCTGAAACTTAATGTCGCTAAATTACGTCAGCGTTTTTTTGGGGGAGTTCTTGATGCTAGTGGTCGAGCGCTACACGAACCTAGGGATGTACAAGATGAGCAGCTACCTGAACCGCCACCTGCACCTCTATGGGTATGTAATGAAACTACTAGTAGCGGGGCAGTATGTGGACTCACGTTTGATTCTCAAATTGCGTGGTGCGCGCACATGCGTTTCACTAGAGAAGGTAGCCATGGTCATCGTGCATTAAGCCAGCACCTTACAATAACTAACCAATGTCCCTGGTGCATGAGTACGCGTGCCACGCGTGCTATATCCCAGCAGCATGTTCAGCGGCTATTCCTCAATCATGCATGCCATTGCGATCGCAGCCCTGTGCGACATGAGGTAGTCCAGCCCATATCGCTAGCTTGCCCGGCCTGCGGTCTGGCACATATTTCTCTCGAGCAACTCCAGAGGCGCATCAGAACGCACATCGACCTGCCGAGTGCAGCTCAGTTCGTCTTCACTGTTGATGGCGCTGCGGGCGATGGCAGTCGATCAGGGCAAGCTCGCGGAGGCCAAGAAGCGGCTGGCGACGGGCTCTCCCAAGATCTCCTGCGGCGGTGGCTCCAGCGGCGAGCGCCCCCCGCCCCAGAAGAAGGGGCGACAGGGAGGCGACGCGGGTGCTGTAATGATGGCCGCGGGCACCGACGAGTCAGATTGAGAGACAGCGACGGACCTGATCAAACTCCAGCTCAACACGGCCCAACGCAACAGAGCGCTGGAGGGGTGTCTCTTATCGACGCAGCTTCTCCCGCAAGAGAACGAGCTGAACGCGGTGGCGATAATGGCGATCGAGCAGTACATGGGCGCGACCATGGCCAAGCCAGCGGATCATGGTCAGGGTCATCCAGGCCTAGTCTTGTGCATGGCTATGCTCGCGTCGCTGGTAGGCATCGCCTGGCTTCAGCAGCAACAGGACGTTCAGAAGGAGCTGCAGGCCCTCATCGATTTCGCGAATATAATCAAGACGCTGCCGATGGTGACGGCAGCAGAGTGCCTCAAGTACTGGAAGGTGAAGGCGGTATGGGCGGAGAAGGAGGTAGCCATCAAGGATCGCATGGTGCGCCACACCTACTTTGTCAACGCGTGGACGACGCTGGGGGGCGGCAACCTCATGGTGCCGATCAACGGCATCATCGCGGCGCTCTTCGTCAAGATGGGCAGCCAGCCCCAAATAGGACCGCCCCCCAGGACGACGCCGGAGAGGAAGTTGCAAGGCAGTCTGGAGCGGCTCCTTCGCAGCTCCAGGCATCGCAAGTCATGGGTAGTAAAGTGAGAGGGTTGTGAGCGTGCAGGGTGCAGCTAGCAGTGTTGTGAGCAGTACTGCTGTAGGTCAGACTGTGCTCGAGCGCGGGCGCGTGAGGTTTCGGGGGACTTGCCCCCCCCCCCCCCGAGCAACCCGTCCAGAAGCGAGGAAGACAACGCAGGGGATAGGACCCTGGCGGTGTGCTGGTCCCCTAGCGTTGCGTTTCTGTCGTTGGGAGTACATATGCATTACCCTTAATGTATCGTGCAGTTCTTTTTGCATGGATGAGTTTCGGTGGCGCCTACCGTCCCTCGTCCCCCCTGTCCTTCCTCCTCTCGGCCTTCCTTCTCCTGTGCCTCCTCCTCGTAGGTGCCACCTTAACTCTGCCTTGAGTTCGTGTTGCTGTCTGATTTCGACCCGTCCACTCCAGCCATGCGTCCTGGAGAGGGAGCCACGGGGGATGGCGATTGTTTGACATCGTCGGGGACACAGCGATCCCACGCCGCCCATCGGTCGCAGCTGATCCGTCGAGCAGGATTCAGGACCAGTTGATGCTTCACCACCACCACCACCTCCTCCTACCATCCTACC